TGGACCTCGGTGAGCTGGTCCGGGTTTCTAGTGGAAAAGAAAATCTTATCCCTTAAAGTCCATTGTGTTCGAATTGTCTGCCAGTGTCCCTCTGCCATCTGCCAACAAAGTCTAACATATGTCTGATAAACCAACCGTAAGCTTGCCACTTGGTCGTCCAGGTAAGCTGACTACTCTAATTATGCTACCGCGACCACTATATAAATACACTTCGTATCTCACAGTACCTTTTGCAAAGTCACCTATTTCATCTTGTCCCTGTCCGAGAACACCTGGTAATACGTGCAGCAGGAGAAAATCAACCCTGAGCCTCATGAACTAAAGTGGGCCCACTCTGAAAAAGTATAGGAGCTCGTGGGCCGAAACATTTGTCGACAAGAGATTACTTCTACTGATGATTGATAGACTCCTGCTGTACATGCTCCCCTGTGAAGTTTCTTCTTACTTACCTAATTCCTAATATGGTTGCTGAAACTTCTTTTGTTCCATTTTATTGAATTTGAAGTGATTGCAGAGGGGCCTTACCAAATAATTCCCCGAACTCCCATGTGATGTTTCCCAGCTTTGGCCTTGGGCAACAACTTGTAAACACACAAACGAATATTCAACATTTTTTGACGTGGTTTAGCCGCTAGACGCTGACCCGTGATCACGAAGATCATGTGTGTTCAAATCTGTTATTCAGGTTTTATTACCCTGCCTTCCATGTCCCTCCAGCTCAAAATGGGTACCACGTCAATCCCGGGAAGTAAAGGTGGTCCATGTGTAATGTTAACCTCATCACCCACGAGTTTTACCCCACCAGGATATCATACTGAACGATAAACACCAGGTGACACAAAGTGCCACTACGGGGATAAAGATCACCCGTGGAGAGGTACCAGAAACCCCGTTCAACCGTTAGGTTATATTAGGGTTCCCGGCTACAGCCAGATTGAGGGCTTCATAATAACGAAATTTTTTTCCAACATTAGGTCGGGGAATATAAGATTTCTCATAAAATTATGAGTTCAGGTTAGTTGCGTATAATTTACAGGACGTTGCAGAACCAACCCCAGCAGACTCTGGCTGTAGTGTGGTTTCCCTAGGCAAATTTACGTCCAGTAGTTTGCCATTGCTTTCTGGACAGTCGGCTTCTTGATACCACTGTCGAAACCAACGCAAGACGCATGGCCCGCAGCTGTGAGCGAACCCCGGCATTACGAAGCGTTCGCATCGACTTAGCCACAGAGCCGAAAAAAATTATGAGTACGTTCCAGAAATCCGGCGGAACTTTAAAATTTGTAACTTATTATCCGCTTCGTGTAAACTGTTAAAATCTGGCATGCAGCCTGTTAGTTATAATGAATGTCCTTGCAAGACGAACAATTAGCTTGCTTAAAATATCTTGAGTAAAGTAAGTGAGGAAACGACTTTCAAAACATCAAATGACAGGCATTTCATGGACATTTCCTTCTCTCGTGGTCATCTACAGCAGTTGCCTCCCGTGAGTTGTTAGGTAAACACAACCTTATCAAAATAATCCTCATGCATAGCTGCACATGTGAACTGATTTCCAAACCATGCCCACGCATGAGTCAATTACTGTATATTCTACCTTTTAGGGGTACACAAATTATTAGTCAAGTAAATACCAAAGAAATTCATCACTTTAAGAAAACAGCAGCGCCTGTGTAAGAAAAAAATAAAATCATAAGGACATGGGAAATCTAAGGCCAAGTGTACAAATTCGGGTGCTTTATTATTATCATACCACAAACAGGGAAAATCCTCAGAAATGGGACAGTCTAATATTTCAGGTGGTGGTAGATAGGCTGCATGCAGTTGTGGGATCTAGACTGCATGCATTCGTGGGACCTAGATTGCACTCTCTCGTAGGACGTGGATGGGTTAGGGTTAGAACCAGTTCTAGATGTTTTGAAGTCGTTAAACGCATCAAAATGCCGGGAAACCAAGTCTTACCACCCTCGAAAATGGTGGACTGTCCTGTAACGTCATCTGGGGTAAGATAATAATAAAGAACCCAAATTCGCGTTTATTCCTACAGGGGTTTTTGCTGTTTATTAAAATACGACGACATGAGTTTTGAAAAGTACTATAACCCCGTGCAGCCAATAAATATAAGGGTGGGAAAACTGCCTATAAATGGAGACTGTTCATTCATGGTTGCTGCAAAAAAAAAAAAAAAAAGACAAAACTGCCATAAAGGAAGAATCAATGTTATTTTATTGTAAAGAAAGTGTGTGCGACAGGTAAAATGAAGTCATAAATAACATAAAATCATTTAGGGTAACTCACAAATCACAATAACATTGTTGATACCTTCAGTGGAATGTTTGTGCGTTGTTAAAGTTGACAGCGAAAATTTCTTAACTAAGTAAATAAATGAAGGTAAAAGATTATCATTATTATGCGTAAGTAAAAGGTGACATCAGTTATAGTTAAAACGTCTGGACATCACTAGAACAAACCACAAAGCAAGGGTTCTCAACCTTCCTAATTTTGCGACCCTTTAATACAGTTCCCCATCTTGTGGTGACCCCCAACCAAACAATTATTTTCGTTGCTACTTCATAAAATCAGTGACTATATGTTTTGCGGTGGTCTTAGGCGACCAATGTGAAAGTGTCATTCGATCCCAAAAAGTGTCGCGACTCACAGGTTGAGAACCGCTGAACTAGAACAAACTACTGGGGGAATGCACTGGAAGTTTGCTCCATGAAAGCACAACGGTTTGCTTGGAGTGGCCATAATACAGTTGTAAAGACAAATATTTACACAAGGGAAATTCACGGGGAAGCTCTTGAGGCTTGTCTGACAGACAGCATGATCAACAAATTGACATTCATTCACTGCCACTCGCACACGGTGCGAAAATAAAATAAAATTGCAAGGTTCGAATCTGTCGTCTCCAGATAATGAGGTCGTCAACTAATATGAAAAAAATGTTACTTAACACAAACCCGTCCACACGGTGAGAGTTCATTCCCATCACATTCATGCCGCTGCAAGTCACACGGCGTGTCCTATGTTACGGGGGTGTCATGTATTCCATTTTTTCAACGGTTGAACTGTTGTCTCTTTGATCGGGTTGTCACCGCTCACCTGCGTGACTATTGCCACGCTGTGCTACTTAACTAATGTTTTGATAGTATGAAAACTGCGATGTTTTTGTATTCCTACGTTCCTTGTTAGTGGCTTCTTTTTTTTGGGGGTGGGGGGGTGGGGGGGGGGTGTACATCGCCAAGGAAGGTAGCATTACAAACACATCCCACTTTTGATACTCAAGAACCACGACCGGCTCCAGCTAACGGGCCGTGCTACAGACGTTAAGAAGTCGGGCTAAAGAGGCGTTAACGTAGCGGTTCTCACACACACAAAATAATCTATTTTTGACAGTGGCGAGGAAAGACAATTTAAATTTTAGCATTTAAGTATCTACATGCCCTCTTTAATAATTTTAAAATGTTTAGCTGACTTTTCTAGATTTTTACCTCGGCACCCCTAGCATACGCTTACAGCACCCCAGGGTGCCTCGGCATCCAGTTTGAGAACCGCTGCGTTAACGCATCGTAAGCCCCACCCGGTGTAGTCAGCAGCACGGCCCGTCAACAGGAGCTGGACGTGTCACGAACAATCTCGCCTTTGGCGCTTCCTCCTGCATTACTTTTTTTTGTACCTACGTTCCTGCGGCACCCTAAAGAGGCTCACGACAACACAACCTTCACAAACAGTATATACTGTGAGCAAACGCCGAACGAGGCCATTCAATAACACCCTCAAAACATAGGAGAGGCCATACGACATAAATGAGAAGGAAAGGTACTCTATCTAGCCGGCAAGTTTGTGAAAAGTTCCAGAAAAAGGTCTATTTCGAGATAGGGATGTCCCATTTCGCAGGTCTAGAAATACTTGTTTTACCACGTTATCATCCCATTTCCAGCATTTGACTGCAGGTTACACTTGTTAACTGTAGATGTGGCATAACATAAACGTGTTAAACGATTGAACTGATGATATTCGATTTGCTTCTGTTTGTTACTGTTCCTTGCAGTCTGACCATGATACAGAGACCTGGTCGCATCAGGTGGCACCGCAAGGGATGGCATAAGCAATGTAAACATTTAAAGGCATGATTTTGAAAACTAGCATCACACTGAGAAAATCCACCGCAGGCCCTGCTTGAAGTGTTAATCAGCAATCCTAGAGGTGAACAATGGCGACTACCACTTGTTCCTGTGGTGAGGCAATGGCTTCATGTGGAGACGATAGGCTAGAGCCTGGTGTGGTAACTGCCGCTTCCGATTTGTAAGTAGTCCAGCGCTTTACCTCAACCATGTTACATCCACTGCCTACCAAAATAAAGCAATTGTTCCTCGCCCGCCCACTGACAGCTAACGAACAAAAAAAAAAAAAAAATCTGATATGTGAGGCTGGAGCATTGTTTCTAATTTACAAAGCGCTACAATAACATCCATTCGATTGTTCCGCTTAGTTTATATTATTGGCATGCCCGAGAAAATCTTTTCTCGCAAATAGGAAGCCCTTGAGGTGTTAATCCTACAAAATGGAAGAAAACAAACATCTGCCCTATCTCGGTACATGATTAAGCAGATTTTTGTTAAGCGGCCCATCAGTGTGACAAAACTCACGACCACCGAAGTGTCGCGACTCACGCCAACCAAAAAGTCGTGACACATGCCCACCAAAAGTGCCCTGACTCACGCCCACCAAAGTGCCCCGACTCACACCCACCAAAGTGCCCCGACTCACGCCCACCAAAGTGCTACGACTCACGCCCACCAAAGTGCACCGACTCACGCCTACCAAAGTGCTGAGACTCACGCCCACCAAAGTGCCGCGACTCACGCCTACCAAAGCGCCGCGATTCACGGATTGGAGAACACTGCTAGTATGTCCTTGTGGTCATCTTCTTTCTTCTTCATCTATGAATACCACTCAGCACATGTTACTATTTGTATACAAGGGCTAAAAGTAGCTCACACAAGTGAATGTATCTGCAACATTTCTAGTTTCCTTTCAAGTCTCGACTTTTCTTTCAGTGCTGCCTTAAGTCGCTTGTGGAGTTCAATCTCTGATGACTTCCACAACACGAGTAGTTCCTCTTTAGTGACAGTGTCCAGACAAAAGGTGTCCTGTGACGCTTCAGCCTGGGCAGACTCTGCAGCTGAGCACATGTGATCTTGTTGTGTCTGTGGTTTTTGAAGAAACGACTGTGCTAGACTGACGTTGTTTGTCTTTTGTAGCAAAGATTTGTTGATATAATTTGAAGCCGAAGCCCCAATGCCTGCCGGGTTGTAGCTTTCATCAGAGAAAGGATGCATATGAAGATTATCGTTTATCACAGGTACAGATTCATCGCACATTTCATGCCTTCCGTTCTCTTCATCTCCGTTAATTATTTCTGTATTTTTCGCAAATTTCCCACAGCCTAAAGCAGGCATACTTTTTGGAAGAGTATTATGAAGGCAGACTGGAAGTTTTGCTCGCCCAGTAGCCGAATTTGTATTTGCTGAATGTGGCTGATGCTCTGTCCTATACAAGGATGACAATTCGTTGACAACAAAAGCAGATGGAAGAGATGACCCAGAAGCTAGTCTCTGTCTGGTGTTATTTGGAGGAGAATTAATCGAAAGGACAGGAATGTCTGAGCAATCGGCTGAACCACGTCTGGTTTGCATATATAAGTCATAATTAAACTGGGAACAGCTATCCAAGTGGTCATTATTATTTGAAATGTGATCAAGCGCCGATGATGACGCATAGCCAGCATGAAGAAAACGATAATGATTATCAGAAGAATGCATCTCTTGTAGATGCAGTGAGGTAGAATGTGAGGACACAAGCAACTTTGGAAGAACCGGACTTGATCGGAAGGTATCTGGAAGACGTTTACCTGCTTCATCTTCATTTCTCCCAAGCAGACTATCATCAGACTCCGGAGATGAAGCTTCATCGTTGGAAATAACTTGTGCCGAATTAGCAACCAAAGAGTTTTTTCTCGAATTAGCAGCCAAAGAGCATTTTCTCGAATCAGCAGCCAAAGAGCTTTTTCTCGAATTAGCAGCCAAAGAGTTTTTTCTCGAATTAGCAGCCAAAGAGCTTTTTCTCAACAGTAAAGAGTCCATTTCGCCACCCATGTTTAATGAGCTGGATCCCATTTCTATGTTTACAGTCAGTTTCTTCAGCGGAATCTCTATGATTGTTGAGTTCGGCTGACCCTCGTCATCGGTGAGTCCTGAGTCTTGCATTTCTTTCAACCTTTAGGAAGAGGATAACATTACAAACATTACATACTGAAAGCACTATAGGACAAGACAGAATAGTACATATTTTACATGGGCTAAAATACCAAGTAAGAGTGAAAATGAGTCCCACTAGGATCGCATACTGAGCAGTTAACATCCTGTGACGCAAAGTGCAATGAGTCATTACTCGGATGAGAATCGCCCAGAAACCCCATTTGACCGTAACTTTATATTAGTGCCCTGAGGGTTAAAGAGTAGCCTGTAATCCAGAAAGGGAGGGGGATATAGCTCGATAATAAGTTAGTATGTGAGCCTCTATAATTAGAGGTTAGTGAACGTATTTAATCATTCTAGACGTTTGATTTGATCGTCAAGCGGTATAGGAAAAGACCATTCTTGTGGCTGCTGTACAGTGGTATGAGAATCATATCGTAAGGGAACATTGGGTCTCACCGTGCAATATTCCCCGAAAGAATAAAGGATGCACGTACCCACTACAAACAACCTGTATTGTGGAGAGAGGTACATTTAATTTTGTTTCATGCTTTTGTTGCTGCTGTTGTTACAACAGCAAGTTGACGTTTGCGATCATGGGCGATGATTTATAATTTCGACAACGTCGCAGGTAGGCGTGGACAATTCGGTAGTATCAGGGCTTTTCTTCTAGTTAATAAGGTGCCGATACTTACAACAAAGTGTCTATTTCAGTTGCACTAAACACACCCAAAAAAAAAAAAAAAAAAAATTGCCTTTAAAAAAAAAGTGCCGGTACAGCGTTTCATTAGGAGCCACCGTGGTGTAGCGGCTAGATTCGTGGGTTCGAAAATGAAGGTAGCCGTACTTGTTTAAAAAAAATAAAAAACTAACATTGGCTAGCAGGTCCACTCAGTCTTAAATGGGTATCAGGTAAAGTCCTAGGAAGTAAAGGCTGTCAACATGATGTTGATCACATGACCCACCGAGTGCCAACTGGGTTAAACAATATAGGTTTAACCCTGTGTGCCTTATACCCAGGAAGGCGTGGAAACGGTCCTTTACTTTTTACTGAGTCACCTTGAATATCACCAGAAAATAAGCTCCTTGATAGTACACCACCTTGCATTGATTCTGAGATCGGTACGAGCATCCACCTTTCATTAAATAAATGATGTTGATTTGTGACGTTCTGTACAGAATATGCAACAAGGTTAATAAAAATTTAAGTAACCTTGAATACATTAATGATGAGAACAGCGAGGACAAATAAAAGGAAAAATATAGATATCCTTTTGGTAATCTGGTAATCTTAGTTTCAGCTTCATAGCAAACGGATCACATCACAGTTGCTCCACTCCTGTGCCAACGAAAAGAAAAAAAGAAAAAAAAAAAAAAACAGCATGTTCACCACATATTCTGGTGGAAAAATTAGCACAGTCTGCAGTCTCAGCATATCCACAAGCATACACATGCATTACAAGCATAAGGCAGCCATCAGAAGTGCTACACAAACAGTCTGACAATAAATGCGGCAACAGACTACTTGTTATGTTTTGAATCACCAGCTCACAACACCACGTTATAAGATAAGACAACCCTTGACTTATTAGAGTGGTGAAGATGTATTGATGGAAACCCTAGCACATAAAACCTGTCATCTTTCTCTGTTTTCTGCTTGATGAATAAGTGTATGATAACTTAGTCCTGTCCATTTCTTGATGTGGTCATTTCAGATTCTTCCTTGACCTCCTTTTCTTCGACTACCACCCCTCCCCCTTCCCCTAATGTTTCTTGAAGTACAGTCTTTGCAATTGAATCATGTTTCACCCGGTCCCTAAACCAAACTAATTCGAAAATGCGTCTGTAGCATTTACATTTAAAAGCCTGAATCCTCCTCTCCATTTCCACAGTGAGAGTCCAACTCTCATATCCATATATGAAAATAGACAACACCAGTGATTTGTAAATATTGACCTTGATTGCGGTGCTGATTTTGCTCTTCCACATCGTTGGTGACAGTCGAATAACATTCTAAACAAAATTCACAGCTCACAGCATAGCGCCACTCACTCAGCTCAGTAGTTGGGCGACAAAACTATATCCCTTCAGTCTACAAATGAAGGAAAATTCAACAGCCACCGCCTATCAGAAGCAACAATATTCCTGCATGGTTATCAAAAATCAAAAATGTAAATATAGCAAGAAAGAGCTTTATACATCATACCACTTAGCCTTCTCCACAATGTCGTAAAAATTTCGATTGATCCTTTTCGTCCTCGCCATATCAGCCAGCTTATTTCTCTGGCAGAACAAAGAAACAGTTACAGTTAAGTTACATTTAAGTTAAAATAAAAAAAAAAATAAAGTTAAAATTAAATTGAAGTTAATTTCAAGTTAAATTAAACTTAACGGCATATCTTTTTCAGGATGTCGCTACCCACAACCCAAGATTTGTTGGTCGGTTGTGGTTTTAAAGGGAATTCTACTTTTTGAATGGTTTGACATTACCAGTGTTGAAATCAAACTGAAGCGGCCTACTGTGTAATCGTCTGCTGCTGAATTCGATCATGGTATTTGAGTGAAGTAAAGTTTTCATATTACTTTTTACTTTAGTGGCGCATGGGAGCTGTAGTTCCAACCTCTTAGTTTTGTAAAACTAACTGGCACTAGACCGATGATTGGTTGACTAACCTTCTTTATGTTTCAGTATATTTCCTGGTAAGATTGTGATTTGGGTCCTGGCGGAGCCGTACTTTTTTTCAAAACATGACTTTGGCTCCCAAGTCGACCCAGACTTGAGTGGGTACCGAGTGCAGTCTAGTGAAGTAAAGGTGGCCGGCGAGATGCTGACCACATCACCCATCTTGTGCCAATTGGTCTTTAAAAAACGGTTTTGCCCTATATGCCCTATACGCCTAAAGGCATGGAAGAGGGTTCTTTACTTACTTTCACTTTAATATATGTCAAATACGTCTGAGGGCGTGGAAAAGGGTCCATTATGTGTACTTTCTTATATTTCCTGGTACCTATTTTAGTATGGGTAGAGTTAGATGTACTTTATCTCTATAGGAAAATACAAGGGAATGGGCACGTGTGTATTTTAAGATCATCAGTTTTTTTTTTTCTCCAGACTTCTATGACTGTAAGCATTTTTCAGTAGCCACACAGATAAAACAATTGTTCCTGCACATTTCGGAGCTCATGCCATAATTTGCAACTAGCATCCGGTAGTAGGGACAAAAATACTGACTCTGCTGTTTGTATATTAAATTTTTTGGAACCTTGCAGGATAACAGAACGGTGTGAGCTAATGCAATCATCTTAAGGTGTACATGATAACAGTAAAAACATTTAGCTGCAATATTCAAAGTCATGAAAAAGTTGCACTAAAGACTAAAGATAATTAGTTAGTTGGTGATCTATTGTTCTATTGGAGATGAAAGACCCCCCTCCAACACCCCACCCGAAAAAAAAAATAGCAAGGAGGGGGATGAGTAGAGAGAAGTAGTAGTTGTAGCAAAAACGGCATCAGGCAGTAGTAGCAATAGTTATAGTAATAGTAGTATATAAACAAAGAAGTAGAGATAAAAAAAACAGGAAAAGGATAAAGAGGAAGCGTAGGAGAGGGAGGAGGAGAGGGAAGAAGAACAGAAGAAAAACTCTTCTAAAATAAGAACACTATTTCAATAGGTACTGGCCGTTAGGTTCACGTTAATCTCCCCAGATAGAGTAGGTCACTTTTCATTCACAAGTTTGTTGGGCTGGTCGACTTTCATGAAGGTTACGGGTGCGTCCCGCTCTGTTGTTTGCTTCATGTGATGTCTTGCATTTATGTTTTCAGTCCGAGAAAAAGAATGCCTGTGACACACGTTGCAGCACTCTCTATGGGAGGTTGAGTTAGGACCAGTTTCTCCATTTTTTTGGAGTGTTAAAAGCTCTGGCGAGCTGAAATATACAACACGCGATATCAACGGCTTTACGGAACATCCCCGTAACCTTGTGCCAACGTGACAGGTTCAGGAACTACCAATCAGAAGTGAGCTAGTGTGTATATGGGCGGGGCGTGGGGAGATCAAAGTTACTTTTACTGGTACTGGGAAGTAAAGACGGGAAACAGAAAATGTAACAAAGAAAGGCAACTAAAATATTTATTAACATATATAAAGAAAACTAAACATCAGAATACTCAGTACTCGGATTGTGCTCTTTTGAAACAGGCGTGCAAACTCCCTGGTCTTGAAAATGTTCAGCATTTCCTTGGCGGAGTGATGTGGCGACACCAGTTCAGGACTTGCAATGATTCGTTGCAATCGCTGTTAAAAAAAAAAAAAGGTACATTTTTATTTTTATGTACCTACTAACGCCCCACTCCCCTTCTCTCTCTCTCTCTCTCTCTCTCTCTCTCTCTCTCTCTCTCTCTCTCTCTCTCTCCCTCTCTCGCTCACACATAAGGGCAAACATACGAACACGACCACACAAACACTGTCGCAGTCACACATTTACAATCAATCGCAACGCAGACATTGAGGTTTGAACATAATGGCGTGAGAGACCGAAATATACCAAGAGACAACACGGACCACGGACAACATCAAGGAGAATTGGCTCATAAACAGCATTCTATCCAGAAAGACGAGGTATTTGACCATATAAAAAGTAATGATGGCCAAGAAAGAACTGTCATGGAGAGTACAGTTTCCAGAAAACAAGATATAGACACACTTTCGCAAAGGTGGATACAAGATACTGAAGATGCGCTGGCTATGAAAGCACATAGGGCTGAAAATTTGGCTAGAGAGAGAGAGAGAGAAAGAAAGAAAGAAAGAAAGAAAGAGAGAGAGAGAGAGAGAGAGAGAGAGAGAGAGAGAGAGAGAGAGAGAGAGAGAGAGAGAGAGAGAGAGAGAGAGAGAGATGCTTTTATGCCTGCCATGACGAGAGTGACCCTCTGTAAAAGACCTGGATGATGATAAACAAAAATTATACACATCAACTGAGACTGAGATTTTCGCGCTACTGTCTGATGATGTGATACACCTGCTACTGTAGAAAGCTGTGCCCCATCCTAGTTGTCACTCCAACAGTGCAAACCCCAGATATTCCACTCAGCTTCCTCAAACGTTATAATTTAAACCCAAGAAACGGCTACCCTGAGAACTAGCAAGATGTACCCTGATGAGCTAGAGTGTGTCGGAAATCTAACTATTATGCTTATAATGGATGTAAAAAAAAAAAAAATACGACCTGCGACCAGGTTGGTAATTATAAATTTGGCTCGCGGACCACATATTGTTGCCCACCCATGACCTATTCTAGATCTAAAAATGGTTAAAATATGGGGGTGACTGCAGTCAAGCTTATACAAGGAATTCCAGAGAAATTTGACTAAAAAGCTCAACAAAATGGGGAAGCAGAAAAACGTGAACAAAACAACACAACGTAACGTTTCGGCCAGGCAGCCTTTGTATTAAATTAGTAACCACGGAAATGAGATGTCTGAGAAGGGCTGTAGGAGTGACCATAAGAGATAAGATCAGGAATGAGATCATAAGAGAACAAGTCGGCACAGAACCAATTCTGGATTACATACAAAGACAGCAAGTAAAATGGTTTGCCCACTTAGAGAGAATGCCTTGTGACACCATACCATACAAAGCATACATGGAAAGAGAATAAGGACGTAGAGTACGGGATAGACCAAGAACAAGATGGAAGGATAACATCAAAGAAACTCTACAACAGCACGATGTGCCTATGGTCGAGGCAGCCAGAAGAGCTAGAAACAGAACCTTATATCTCCCACGACACCCACAGCGGTAAAAGAGGAAGTGAAAAAGAAGAAGAAGAAGAAGCCTTTGTATTTGTATAGATTATCTATATCTGCAGTGTTGTCTCTTGTTTACAAAGGCTGCCTGGCCGAAACGTTACGTTGTGTTGTTTTGTTCACGCTCTGCTTCCCCATTTTGTTGAGCTTTTTAGTCAAATTCTCTGGAATTTCTAGATCTACAGAAGGTCATGGTCCATCCTTGGTGTAAATGCTTGTTCTCCCTTCCTTCCGTTTTCCCCTCCCATCCTGTTACCTTATGGTTTGTCACCTTGCGATTTCAAAACCTCATTCTGAATGGGCAGACCGCAGGACAAATCCCAGATATTTCTTCCAACCACCATAGAAGCTATACTTGTGGGGTAACTCATAATGGCTGCGCCAGCCTGATGTCGCTTGCAGTTCTTCTTTCATTCGCTTGAAATCGATTATCTATATCTGCAATGTTGTCTGTTGTAGGAACTTCACTGTCTGTTGCAATTCACTCAGCGACCCGTAAAGTTTGGCTTTAACCAGTGTTTCGCTTGACCAAAAGTTTTGCCTTGATATGACGTGTCTGATGCAGTCTTGAAAGACGTGATCCAATTCACATGCCAATCTACATGTATACACGGTTGATTCGCCAATCTAGAATTGTGTGTACATGTGGCTGCGAAGTCGATTGTGTCCTGTTCTAAGGCGTAAATTATTGCCTGGCTTGGGTCTGTCCATAATATGATAATCGTCTTTTGCCGGTTTGTGTGGCTTTCTGATTGATTTCATGATTTTCTTCTTTTGTTGATACGAGACTTCTACTCAGTGTGTCCTAAATTTGAACCTTCCTTAACTAGTTTATCAGTTCTCTCATTTCCGGGAAATCCACAGTGGGAGGATATCCATCTCCTGAACAATAGACACCCTGACTGTACAAAATCTCCATCTGGATGGCAGATCCATAGTGTTAATCACAACGCGTTCTTTCATTCAACCTTCAAAGAGAGCCGCCTTAACAGCATCATGGGCACCTGGGCAAACAAGTCTGCTAGGGCCCGTACTACACTCACTCACTCACTCACTCACTCACTCACTCACTCACAGGAATGCAGTTTTTATATATGGCGACTTACTTGACATACAGACTGGCTACCAAGTACGCAAAGGGCCCATACGTTAAGATGGTACCGTACGTAAAGACTTCTTCTTCTCTTCCACCATTTACGTCAGCGAGGTGTGTGTGTGTATGTTTGTGTGTGTGTGTGTGTGTGTGTGTGTGTGTGTGTTGTGGTGGTGGGGGGGGGGGAGATGTAAGAATGTTTGTGCGCTTTTTCCAATGCATTGTACAAACTGGTGTTCATTTATGTTAGGTTGTTTCTGAGGATGTCGCTCCATCTCTTGCGTGGTCTTCCCCTTGCTCTGTATTCATTATATTTCTTCAGTGGCTCTCTTTCAGCTTGGCTCTCTTCTTCAGCTTGGCTCTCTTCTTCAGCGTGGCTCTCTTCTTCAGCGTGGCTCTCTTCTTCAGCGTGGCTCTCCGTAAAGACTACACTGGTTTAACCTTCAGTCCTGTGTAAGGAAATTCGATGAATCTTTTCCACGCCTTTATACGTTTTGGGCCTATAGGGCTAGACCTATAATTTGTAGATCAATCGACACTTGATGTCCTCAGCATCACGCCGACCGCCTTTACTTTCCTCGATACCCATGCAAGGCTAGATCGACCTAGGAGCTAAGGTCCTTTTTGAGAAAAGGTCCGGCTCCATCAGGATTCGAACGCACCACCTTCGGATCCGCAGGTGAGCGTTTAGCCCCTACACCATGATAGTTCCTTTAGTTCTGTTTGGGTAAAGAATATAAAACCACACATCAACGTTAGAATATGATCTGAAAAGCGAGGGGATGCGTAATCATCCAACAATAATATGTTTAAACAGTTACTACACGCCAGCTTCAAAACGCATCTCAGAAACAGACGTTTGTTGTCGATACGCGAAATCGAGCGCCTGCGCAATCGGCGTAAATTCTTTGGGGGAAAAAAATTAATGTTTGATCGATCTGCTTTCTCCATTATTACTTCGTTTCTTTCTCAAGTATAATTTTGGGGAAGGGGTTTTTTCCTTGCGGCTAGGGGTGGTTATCAGCACTTATCGGGTCGTGTCTAAGATCAGGAAAGCGGAGCTAGCAAATTTTGAAAGAAAATAGTGCTTTGAGCTATGGCCAAATGCGAATCTAAAGCTTAACTCCACTTAACTCTAGCAGATCTTACTAGACACACTCGCCATCGCCATAAGCTGTTTCCCATATTTTACTATAGCACAGTTTGACACTATTGTCTGAGAAGACGGACAGGTGCCAACAACGACAGTAGGCTGGGTCCTAACGGTTTAACAGTTGGCAAATGAAAACATTACATGAACATAGAAACAAGTATTGTGCAGTGTAGCCGGCGTAATGCTGACCACATTACCCACAGAGTGCTGATGGTCTGTAAAAATATGGGCGCTCTTCCCATATGCCCGATACGCCTAAAGGCGTGGAAAGGGATCTTTACTTTACTATACTTTTACTATTGTGCAGTAATAATATTTAAAAAAAAACCAGGCATGACAATGCCGTGCATTGTTCGTATTACTGACTGGTTTCAAGCATACATACCACACATGCGCACTCACACACACGTATACACACACGAGACACACATGCATATACAACACGCCATCATCTACGCATGCGTTCGAATACACAAACACAAACCTACACACTCGCAATGAACTATATTATCTTTCGGTGGTTAAGACAATAATTAAATGAGCAGCAGGTTGATTTTACGAAGTCCGGCACAACTGCACACTAGTTGATCTTTCATTTTTGCTTGCTCAATCTAGTCTACGCGACAGGGGTGTCGTGTCCGGTGCTGTCACCGGCGAACGACGTGATATCTAGAACTGACCCTAACCCCAACCCTCTACTACACTCTTCGTTTTACCCCCCCCCCCCTTTCCACCCCAAGCCTCAGCCTCAGCTTATATCCCGAGAGAGAATGCAGCATGCATTCATCGGCACTGGACTACATGCTGACCTGTTGGAGAAACAGGTATTGTTTCAAGGTGGAGTTGTTGACCTAAAGAGTTATTGTGAAGTAAAAGTTTTTACGATCAGATATGGCATCTAATCTTCATTGAGAGTGAGTGTGAGGATCTTAGGGGTGATTTGCTATTTGACAATGTTGATGAGTTCCTGTATATTATTTCATGTTCGCTCGCAATGTCAATCCTCATCTCATAATACACCATTGGTACATTCACTCCCTGATATTCACTCGGAAGTATTAACACATTAGAAATGGATTGTTGCTTCTGCTGTTATACAGTTGTCTACAGAGTTCCAATTGAGTCTATTGGACCTTGTTCGCCGTTTATTGCGAAAATCACGCCATACCTCCCCCCCCCCCCCCACACACACACACTTGGCTTGGTAGAATGAACTAATTTATGTTGAAGTTGTGGTGACCCGTTGACTTCCAGCTTGCGAACTCTCAACCAAGCGCAGCACCACCACGCGGCATCTTCACCACCACACATCACCCGCGGCACCACACTACTCGATGCTTCCTTATCACCCGCGGCACTAACGTCATCACAGACAATAGTAGACCAACTAATATTAGCAGACACCAACGACATGCTTGACCAGACACCTACGACACGCTTGACCATCCATATATTAGACAACAACTTAGCAGTAACAGGGAAAAAAACAGTAATATGACATGCTTGACAGCTCAGATATCAAATATAACGCAACCTAGGCTTAAACCACAACTAAATCTCGAGACAGCACACCAGCCAACGTTGACATAATTATCATAGTAAAATTAATAACAAGTTAGCATCATAGGTCCAAACAATTTCCCATTTTCTAAAAATACGGCCACTGCAGGCATCAGGTATTGCAGGCAGGCTCAAGGCAGTCAGGGTATCAAGCAGCAGTGCAGCCTCCATACCACACATATAACTACTAATGTGTCGGTGTACCAGGACCAAGGAATGTTGATCTTTGGATATTCTAGCACTATGTTTAGAGACTTACTTGTATAGTGGGGATCTAAGTTTAAATGGAGGTAATGTAAACACGTAAAGGACTTATTCCCACGCATTCAGATCATGTTAAGGTATATGATGGTGCTACCTCCATACATTATAGACCAATTGGTACCCAACGAGTTTTGTCTAGGCTGTCACGACCACATTTACACTTAAGAATATTTCCCGCATCTCATTTTGGGCCCGACCGATCTGCGATCCTGATGTGGATTCGAACCCTAACCACCGGGCAGGTAAACGAGCATCTCTCCCGTGTAACGGTACCCGTGGGACAAGAACATTCAAGTCCTTTTAAATAAAACCACACACATCCTCACAAATGACTTATAAATTATAGGTCTAACACATTAGCTCAAATGTCGCAGTGTCGTGAGATCCATGTATTCTCCCTTCTCTAGTCTCTCTGTCATGATGTTTAATCTATTCATCAGGCTGTCTTACATATCCCTCTATCTGTATGCTCATTCTCACTTCTATTTCCTCTCAAACTCGATTTCTCTCTCTCTCTCTCTCTCTCTCTCTCTCTCTCTCTCTCTCTCTCTCTCTCTCTCTCACACACACACACATCCTCTTATCTCTCTCAAGGTGTCTTCACTATTTTACGTTTGTACAAAGATGTCCAAACCGTGTATGAGAAGCTATGGTAAACTGTGACTTGAAGAACTGAACACGTACCTGACTGACAAACATGAGGTGAATACTTCTCCATCGGCTTGAGGCTGGAGACTTTCGGATGTATGGAACAAGAAACTTATAGATGACGTGTTCCAACAGAAGCACAAGAACTCCGATGCCAATACCAACACACAACATGACGAAGAGCCCTGCAAGAAAATTAATTAATTAACTAACTGAAATCACTGGACTCCGAACATTCCAATACGTGCTCTGTCCCCGCTCCTTAGTAGCGAACGAAAAGTTCCCATACCAGTGATGCCAGTCACAACCTGATTAAATTTCTGTCTATCTATTCCCGTGGGAGTCGCTGTGGCATAGCGGCTAGACGCTCGGCTGCTGAACGGAAGATCGTGGTTTCGCTTCCTGGCGGAGTTGGACTTTAAAAAAAAATGACCATGGCTCCCAGGTAGACCCAGCCTTGAGTGGGTACCAGGAGCAGTTATAGGAAGTAAATGCCCACTTGATTCTAGAAAGTCTTTGCTACAGTCACCCTCTCTAGAGGATCGGCAGCATGTCATTTGTCAGCGTGCTCATACCATGCTTATCCGAATTTCCTGTGCACACAAACTGTTTACGTCATGTCATGCTTTTGATATGAATTCTATCATCGGCACATGTGTTCGCGGATCCTACTTTGGGGCTGGAAAGGAGGAGGAGAAGGAGGGGGTGGGGTGTAGATTTACTGATTACTAAGAAGCAACTTTTACGCGACTAATGAGAGATTTGCCTATATCTGATGCGTTGACCCCAAGTAACACATAGATCAGCGAAGCTGTAAATCAGAACAGAACGTGACAACTAACCTTTTAAATGTGAAAACAGAATAATATAATAATATAATATAATAATAATAATAATAATAATAATAATAATAATAATAATAATAATAATAATAATAATAATAATAATAATAATAATAATAATAAGACAATGAAGAAAAAGAAGGAAAAAAAAGAATAAGAACAAGAGAAAAAAAGAACAAGAAAAAGAACAAGAACAGAAAGAAGAACAAGAAGAAGAAGAAAAAGAACAAAAAGAAGAACAAGAACAAGAAACAAAAACAAGAACATAATTTCGTCACATAACAAAAGAAAATTAGACCTATCAGAATCTTCAAAGAGATTAAAATAATCGAACATGAGATATTTTTTCGTGGGAATTATTTTAGTTCTGGATCTCCCGCTGCAATGTAAAATCACTTCAACGTTCTCTTTCATTTCTGTCAACACTTAACATTTAATTTACTTACCATTTTTTTTAAGTATTATATTTACAATGATCTTAACATCTCTCTCTCTCTCTTCCCCACTCTCTCTCTCTCTCTCTGCCTATCTCTCTATATCACTCTCTCTCTATCTCTCTCTCTTGCTCTCTTGCTTTCTTCATCTCCCTCTTTAACACTACCTCTTATCTCTTTTTATCTTTCACTCTCATATTTCACACTCACTTTTCTCATTCTCTCCCCCCCCTCTCTCTCTCTCTATGGCTCTCTTTAGTAAAGTTATGATGATGTCACCATCTCTACATCTCTATTCTCATTGTAACTTCTCTTTCCTCTTTTTCACGCGAGCGCGCACACACACACACAGACACACACACAAAACATACATACACTCTCTCATCTTATCCTATCTTTCACTTATTTGCCTACCCCCCCCCCCACCCCACCCCCTACCAACCCTTTTTCTAAGCTTCTTTATATATATCCAATCATCGTATCTGGTGTTTTGATAAATATTAGTTTCAAGTTTTCTGCATGAGTTTATCGCTTCATACTTTAAATAATTCGTAAGGAAGGATTTAGAAATATATTACTTTCTAAAACACCTGTATATTGTGTTTATTTACCCTTTCAATGATTCCTGTTCTTGTTTAACAATGCTACTAACAAATATCTGCGTTTCTCTTTAGTTTCCAACTGTCTCTAACACACAGATTTTGCCATTTTCCCTCTGCGTAACACGTAGCCCGTCGAACAACAGAAATGCCTGGAAAGTTTGGCGAGGAAAGCAAAAATACCAACGAAAAATGTCATTTACGAAATCCCACAGTACAATTCCAGAAAGACATTTGTGAGGAAAGGCGTGAAGGCATAAGGAACTTAATCTAAAGAAGCAAAACACTTAACTGAAATTAAATAATCAGTGCGAAATTAAAAAGTTTGTGCACAATGCCAGGAAACAAATTACAGTAAAAAGCTTGGGAGCCTGCATCTTTCATGTAGCCACAAAAGGATGTGAGGCGTGAACCATTCTGCAATCATTAAATGAGAAAATCGGAATTAGAAAAATCATGTTAATACCGGGTATTAAATAAATAGCAAATGAGCCGTCTTCACAGTGAAGGTTGGCCACAATTTGTCTACTGCCAACTATGTGTGAGGACCCAGTCGCCTCCACGATGTCTTCTTCTTTTTTCTTCGCGTTCACCAGTTGTACACTCTGGCGGAAAGTTCTGGTTGTTCATCCACTTCTGAACTGCAGTCCTGCCCCAGAACCTGAGTATTGCGTGTGCATCAGTTTTACAGATCTGCTTCCCTTGAATGCAGAAGTTGATTCCTGGCCTCTCGGGCAGATGCACTTCGACTTCAGAGGAAGCTTTCCAATTAGTCGACTCTTGCGACATGCTTTTGGGAAAGCAGTGGGTCTATTCTTGTTTTCCCCCCCCCCCCCCACAATGGGGCCCCGGCACCCACACGGGGGGCTTCCACGATGTGTCTCTCGTACTACTGTCTGAAAGCCACAAGAACGGTCATTTTCTAAACCGTCCACGGCGATAATTAAACCTGGGTAGAACAACTAAGACAATAACTAATAAATTGCAGACATTCATTAACTGGTGCCTGCGCAGAGTAGACGGAATTAAATGGTATGATAGAATAACTATTGTAGAACTTTGGGAGAGAACTAAACAGGCTCCAGTGGACCAAGAGGTGAGGAAAAGACGCTGGCGTTGGAGAGGACACACACTGAGAAAACAGGAGAACAGCATAACTAGATGTCTTTGTAATGGAACCCACAGGGGCATAGGAATAAAGGAAGGCCAAAAACACATGGAAAAGAGAGCTGGAGAATGACGTTAGAAAGATGGGGAGGACATGGGGAGAACTCCATACAATGGCGAAGGATAGAACGACTTGGTGTGAGTTGGCTGAGGGCATCTGCTCCATTAGGGGATAGAAAGGCAGAAGAAGAAGAAGAAAGAAATGTGGAAGATTGCATTGTGAAACCACTTCAATAACCACGAATAAGTATTGATAAGAAAAAAAATTGCAAATTAATAATAATAACATTCTGACCGAGCTGAACACTGAAGAATATTCGCTCATAAAAAGAAACATATATCGAGAACTGAAGCCAACCTCATCCTCATGATCATGATCAGCATCATCATCATCATCATCATCATCATCATCATCATCATCATCATTATCATTATCATCATAATTGTCTGTTGTAACATTATTTGTCAAAGAGCTCGCAGTCATTTCCCTCATTCCGTTCAATCTTTTGTAATTGCTTTGATATTATGAATGGAATCCAGTCCAACCCATTCCCTTCTCTTACAAACGTTCGCCTTGAGGTTTTTCTCGGACGTCGTCATTTCCTCAGTCCATTTACTTCACATTTCCGTTTAATACATATTCATCCCCATGTGGGATGCAATCCTTAGTTATTTTGAAGCCCCACCCTGGCTTTTGCCGGGGTCTCTAATTATGGTCTGACGGCTAAACGGGGTTTATGGGACGTCTCCACGGGTGATCCTCATCCGCATGGTGGCACTTTGTGTCACCATGTGTTTATCGCTTGTGTGATGCCCTCGTGGGGTACCTGCCTGCTCCTGTTTGGCGATTCTCAGTTGGGATCTTATCAAGATGTGTCCAGTATAGCGCTATCGTATTTGCCTTATAGGGAGTCGCAGGGGTGTCACGGCTATACGCTCGCCTGCGGATCGGAAGGTCGTGGGTTTGAGTCCTGACGGAGGCAAACTTTTCCCCAGGTCGACCCAGCCTTGAATGGGTACCAGGTGCATTCCTAAGATGTAAAGGCGGCCGGCATGGTGCTGGCCACATCTTCCACAAAGTGCCTACTGGTCTATAAAATATAGGCCAAACACCATATACTCAATTCGCAGGAAAACGTGGAAAGGGTACTTTACTTTTTATCGTCTTAGAACTGTTGGTACATTCGTTGCTCAGACATGTCTCTTATAGAGTCACTCCACTTAAATTCCTCCTATTTCATGTTCACGATCCTCCTTGGACATTTATGTTTTGTTATCTTATGTTATCACAATCGACGCCAATGCACATTTGGCATTCCCATGCGTGCTGAGTCCTCCGACGCAGCAGCCACTCCAAAGTATTTCTACTAATTTTTTCCATGAGAAGTCGGTTTTAATGACTCCTATCTCGGCCTCAAAGGCGGCTTAGACACGCTTCACCATTATTTCTCCTGTGTCAGGCAATCGTGTTTGGTTTTTGAGTGCCTCAGCAGGTCTGTTGCGTCGCCTTCTATCATACTGTCCTCTCCTCTTTCTTTACGTCGTAGATGTCGCTGCATCGAATCTCAGCACGGACTCACGAACTCCGTAGCTCCAGTGAGGATCGAGTTAATCAAAATTGTTCATTTAGCTTCTGCTCCATATCTTTAGCAGTTCCTCAACTCTCACACATATATTAAGGAGCATAAAACACGTCTGTTATAAACATGTCATAACGATTTAGAAAGCAGACTAACGTAATACAATTTCACAGAAAAAAAAGGCTTGATTTAAAAAAACCAAAAAAAAAATTATTGAAAGACTTTCGAAAATGTCCCTTAAAACAGGACTCACAATAAATACCAGTATTTATTGTCATTGTAATGCCATTAACATTTGAGGGAATGAGAAATAGTTAGAAAACAGAAAATCCAATTACCTTAAACGATGGAGCGATAGAAGCAATTGTAGAATGTATATATCTCGGAAATAAAGTTACTCCAGATGGGAATTCTGGAAATATTGTAACATAAAGAAGAGACAACGCAAACTAAGAATTTGCCAACTCAACAATATATGACTGACTGACTTTCTACCCCACCAGGACATCACACAAGCGATAAACACCCGATGACACAATGTGCCAAAATGCGGGTGAGTATCA